ATTAATGAGTATAAAACATTATTATTTTCAAATAAAAAACAATATTATTATCTATCCTTAAATATTGTATTTGAATTTTTGTCACTGTCCACCTCAAAAAAATGTATCTCTGTCAGGAAGCTGGAACCTTTTGCTTAAAGCTGAAAGCTTGGAACCTCTATCCATTATTATTAGGAAAAAGTATATCAAATGTTATTAAATTATGACCATATAATTATTATTATAAATATAATTTACCCTAAAATTATTGAATGCATTTCTTAAAGGAAAGGAATGGTAAAAGAAAAGGCATAGCCTTGTTTCTTTTAAAAAACCTGTGTATATTCCCTCCAATTTCATTCAATCAATGAAAAAAAACCCTTTTTTTCAAACTTTATCAACTAATTGCAGAAATTTTAGACCAACTAGACATGCATGGCCTGGGGGTTTAGAAAACAACAGCTCTTATTTGAACTTGATTTTGCAGTGGAAATTGCATTGCATGTGGAGGGAATAACAATGATAAGTTGGACTTGTTCAAACAAAAGGAAAATGTCCACCTCATAAAAATGTATCTGTCTCTCTTCTTCTTAATGTGGGTCATGAAATTTATTGGTAAAGAGGTGTATGACTAAAAACAAACGCATTATTTTATGTTAGGATATGAATATTAAGAAGTATATTAAAAATTTAGAAGTATAAAATTAAATCATAAAAAATATTTAGATTATGAAAATTTAACATTTTTAAAAATGTGATCACCTTTCAACATCCCATCGGTCCGTCTCTGGGCATGGCCTTCAAAATGCTTGGGACTAGATGTTGAAACTTGAGGAAACATGCAGCAATTTGGGGCTAAAAAGTGATTCAAAAAGTCAATTGATAGCTTGAGGAAACATGGCTCAAAAAGTTTCGGCCTTGGGATGAAGGAAAAAAAACTAGTAACTTTAATGGGCTAAAGCATTATACCCCAAAGTTTGAGGCTCCAAGGCCCAAAGAGTCCAAGCCTTAGACTCGGTCATCAAGCCTCAAAGCAACGCCAATGGAGCAGAGGAAGGTGCAAAACGAGACGGACCAACTTTGATTGGGAGATTCGAAGAAGCTTGACGAACTCAACTAAGTCACTCTACGCAAATATACGAAATTTCCCAGGCATATCACTATCTTTTTACAAAATGCTCTCTGGTTTCTTATCTTATCATATAATTCAGAGAATCCTAGCTCGGCGTTCTAAATTTGTTGGTTTGTTTCAGTTTCACACTTGTTTTTGTTGTACTAAGGTTGCATTTGTTGCAAAAAAGTTTCCTTGTGAGCCGATAAGCAGATTTTATGGTTACCCATTTGTCTATATTAGATTTAATGCGTATTTATCATATTCTTCTAAAAGGAATTTCAATCTTGATTCTCGTTCATCGAGTGATTCTAGTGTTCATATTGTGGAAAGATAATTTTGATGAGGAAATATTGGTTATGGTGAATTTAAAGAGATGGGTGTCAAGGATTCTGGGGAGTTGAGTTCGTTTGGTGACAATGATTGTGGGTGTCAAAATAGTCGAAGCCTGAATTTTGGTGGCTTTGATGAATTTGAAGAGGGAGAAGGGGAGACTTTCCGTGATGATGATGACCACGACGATTTTGTGGCGTTGAACTCATATAGTGTGCAGTGTGATAGAACTGATGATGTTTGGAAAATTGAGTTAAGAGGAAGATGAATTTAGGCATCCTTTGGTGACAGAGATTTGTCGATTGATTCAATTAAGGTCTTCTTGGAATACAAAGCTCGAAAGCGATATGAGGCAGCTGTTGAGAAGTCTCAAACCTCTTCAAGTTTTTGCTGTCTTGCTTTCTCTGGATGACGAACGTATTGCTCTGCAGTTCTTTTATTGGGCTGATCGACAATGGCGGTACCGTCACAACCCTATTGTATATTATGCAATGCTTGAGATCCTTAGTAAGACTAAATTGTGTCAAGGTGCTTGACAGGTTCTTCGGCTTATGGCACGTAGGGGGATTCAGTGTCGGCTTGAAGCATTTAGTTATTTGATGGTATCATATAGTAGGGCTGGCAACTCGAGGAACGCACTGAAGGTTCTGACTTTAATGCAAAAGGCTGGAGTCGAGCTGAATGGGCACTATGTAATACTGCAATCCATGTTTTGGTGATGTCAGGCACTCAGATTCTTTGAAAGAATGCAAATTGTCGGAATTATCCCTAATGTCGTCACCTACAACTGTTTCATCAAGGGGTATTGTAATATTAATCAGGTTGAAAATGCTTTGCAGTTGATTGTTGACATGCCATCGAAAAACTGTTCACCGGATAAAGTTAGTTACTACACCATAATGAGTTTCTTTTGTAAAAAAAACAAGTCAATGAAGTGAGGAACTTAATGGAGAAGATGGTGAAAGAAAGTAATCTGTTACCGGACATGGTTACGTATAACACTCTTATCCATATGCTTTCGAAGTATGGCCATGCAGACGAGGCTCTTGAGTTTTTACAGGAAGCCGAAGCGAGAGGATTTCAGATCGATAAAGTTGGGCATAGTGCAATAGTTCACCCTTACTGCAAATGGGGAAAACTAGAGGAGCAAAATGTATCGTGAATGAAATGTTATCAAAGGGTTGCAATCCTGATGTGGTGACTTATACAGCAGTTGATGGTTTTTGTCACGTCGGGAAGGTGGACCAAGCTAAAAAAAATGCTTCAGCATACGTACAAGCATGACTGCAAGCCCAACACGGTATCATACACGGCTCTGTTAACTGGGCTTTGTCGGAGTGGGAATTCGTTACAAGCAAGAGAGATGATGGATGGTAGTGAGGAAGAGTTTTGGACCCCAAATGCCATCACTTATAGTGCCATGATGCATGGGCTGCGTAAGGAAGGAAAATTATCTGAAGCGTGTGATGTAGCGAAGAAGATGATTAGCAAGGGCTTTTTCCCAAACCCGGTTGAAATTAACTTGATAATTGAGTCGCTATGTCGAGAGGGGAAAATGGATGATGCTAAAAGGTTTTTGGAGGAGTGTCTGAATAAGGGGTGTGCTGTTAATATTATAAACTCTACTACTCTTATTCATGGATATTGTCGAAAAGATGACTTGGAAGCGGCTTTTTCGTTGCTTGATGATATGTATCTAAGTAACAAACATCCGGATGCAATCACTTAAATGGCAATAATTGATGCACTTGGAAAGAGTGGTAGAATAGAAGAGGCAACTGATCTTACCATGAAGATGCTAAAACAGGGGTTGCTCCCAACACCTGTTACATACAGAACAGTCATTTATCGATATTGCCAGATGGGAAGGGTGGAAGATCTGTTGAAATTATTGGAGAAAATGCTTTTAAGGCAGAAGTGCAAAACAGTTTATAATCAAGTCATTGAAAAGCTCTGCAGTTTTGGGAACCTTCGGGAGGCTGATAAATTGTTGTTTAGGATTTTGAAAACGGCATCCAGAAAAGATGCTAACACCTGTAACATGCTTTTGGAAAGTTACTTGAGAAAAGAGATGCCTCTATCAGCATATAAAGTTGCTTGTCGAATGTTTAACAGAAATCTGATACCCGATCTTAAATTATCTGAGAAAGTAAGGGACTCATGTTAGAAGGAAAACTGCAGAAGCAGATAACCTCATGCTACGGTTTGTTGAGCGTGGACACGTTTCACCTCATCGTGAATGATATTTGGATATTGAGGCTGTTCACTATCAGGCTGCTGTAGATGTGTTTCCGATGCCATATTCCAAATTGTACAACCGTGGGAACTCTCTCTGAAGTTCAATGTCGTAAAAACGGTAATCCTAAACTCTTCTTTTGGTTTCGCCTTTATTTGGGGTGGGGTCTAAGTGCATGTTACCACTTTCATTTAAATTTTTGTGAGACAAGACTTCTTTGTATGTTTTGGAGCTTCTAGTGAAATTTGGTACATCCTATGGTGTCAAAAGTCAAATCAGATCCGCTAAATGTTAAAACTTCATTACCAAGGAAAATTGCTTTGAAGCACATGCAGGGTCTGAAAACATATGCATAAAAGTACACTTTACTGCAATTGTATAATTATGTAGATTTTCGAAGGGTAAGGTGGTTGTTTACTAGAGAATTCCTATAGCAGGTGTGTTGGGATATTATAATGGACAACTTCCATCTTGATTGATAGAATAAATTGATAAGCAAAACTGTCATATTTGCAAATTATAACCTACCTAGTCTGGATACATGGTGAATGATGAATAAAACTAACATTAGTTTCTTACAATAGGTATATCTAAAACGATGATTAGACAGGTGCTTTGTTATATTTGTTTATTTGGTTTATGGTGCAGTTAATTCTGGACAGAACATGATTAAGAGATTTGGAGATACATCCTTGGAAACAGGATTACATATATGCGAACAACAGTTTGTACACACAGAATATAACTCCTGATAGAAACTGCAAAATCCTTTTGCTTACTGAGGTGCCATTTCCCATTGCAAATTTGCTGCTGATGTGTACTCATATGACATGTAAGTATAATGTTTCAAATTGGACGTATTGCAGTACAACAGTGACCACTTCGGCACTTTCTCATATGGCTAATTACCATGTTGGCTAAGGGGAAGCATAGATTCTTTGCAGATAGAGCCAAGTGGTTGTAAACAACGAAATAACAGAAACCAGAGTTCAGAACAAATGGAGTGTCCTGATCATCAGATGTTGACATATACTACCTAGTTGTTTGCAACTACTCATTGAAAGCATCTCTCTGGTGAAACGAGCCAAAAATTCTAGGAAAAAGGAGAAAAGGGTGGCGTTTGGAGTTTAGGTTCTTTTGCTTGTAAAACTTATGATTCCTCTGTTCAGGAAAAAGATATTCACCTACCAAAGATTCTAATATTCTTTCCTTTTTTGGTGTATTAATAAAATTTCTCTACCCCAGAAACTACTATTTACACAACAACAAAAAAATTATTATTATGAAAATTTTTGTAATAACTGACCCATAAACTCAAACAAGCAGGGGGATTTCCCCTTAACCTTGAAGGAACAAAGATAAACAACAATAAGCAAAACCTCTTGGCACAATGCAGAATGTTGGTACAAGATGACAGTCTTCATCTATTATGTCTCACTTGTTTCTTGTGATTACTCTTTGAGTAAGTTCTACTAATGCCCGCCTTGACTTTATCACACGCTCGTCATTGCTCTCCGGTAGAGACTCAATTGTCGTAGCAGCGAGGTTAGCATGCTTCATGGCTAGCTCCCTTGTCCTTTGTATTCCGTGACTCTTTCCAAGGTACTCAAGAGCCTATATTTTTCATGCATAGACCAGTTCAAGTGAATTTGGACAAGATAAAGGTTCATATAGTTGCAAAAGCATATGCTGTCAAGAATTAAGATGAAAGAAGCAACAAAATGATGACCGACAAGTCAAATCTGCAACCATGTAAAAAGTTAAACGGAAATTGATCACTTGAAACTACTTGAGTTGTATACTCCCCTGGTCATCAATCGTTTGAAGAGAAAGAATACATTCTATGCAGATCACAAACTCTATGCAGAGGCCAAAGCAAATATAAATAATGTTTGATACATAAGTTATATATACTTACAATGTCGATGTTTTCAGGGCTGTCGAAACCTTGATAAACAACAGCATGTAACTGGGGAAACTCTTCCATGGCAAACAATATTGGAGCTGTTACGATTCCCTGCAACAACAGATGGTTGTGATGAGCTCACCATTATGTAAGCCATTTAAAACCATATTGTGAACCGAGTATGTCCTAGAAAAGAAAGGCTTTGTCAAAGTAGGTGAGAAAAGGATCTTTCTACACTTCCTACAGACACTAGGCAGAAAGGCATTCGACAAGAGTATAAAACAATACCAGCTTAAAGGCATTTAAACTTTGCTTAAGACATCAAGGATAGAGAATTACAAGCTGGATGTCTGATAAAGAACCCTTTCCAAGCGATGCTGATGTGCCGGTGAAATCAAGAACATCGTCTATCAATTGAATGCCAACCCCTGAAAAAAGGGAAAACTAAGGGAAGCATAGATTCTTTTCAGATAGAGCCAAGTGGTTGTAAACAACTAAATACAAACCAAATTCCGAACAAATGGAGTGTCCTGATCATCAGATGTTGACATATACTACCTAGTAGTTTGCAACTACTCATTGAAAGCACCTCTCTGGTGAAAACGAGCCAAAAATTCTAGGAAAAAGAAGAAAAGGGTGGCGTTTGGAGTTTAGGTTCTTTTGCTTGTAAAACTTATGATTCCTCTGTTCAGGAAAAAGATATTCACCTACCAAAGATTCTAATATTCTTTCCTTTTTTGGTGTATTAATAAAATTTCTCTACCCCAGAAACTACTATTTACTCAACAACAAAAAAATTATTATTATGAAAATTTTTGTAATAACTGACCCATAGACTCAAACAAGCAGGGGGATTTCCCCTTAACCTTGAAGGAACAAAGATAAACAACAATAAGCAAAACCTCTTGGCACAATGCAGAATGTTGGTACAAGATGACAGTCTTCATCTATTATGTCTCACTTGTTTCTTGTGATTACTCTTTGAGTAAGTTCTACTAATGCCCGCCTTGACTTTATCACACGCTCGTCATTGCTCTCCGGTAGAGACTCAATTGTCGTAGCAGCGAGGTTAGCATGCTTCATGGCTAGCTCCCTTGTCCTTTGTATTCCGTGACTCTTTCCAAGGTACTCAAGAGCCTATATTTTTCATGCATAGACCAGTTCAAGTGAATTTGGACAAGATAAAGGTTCATATAGTTGCAAAAGCATATGCTGTCAAGAATTAAGATGAAAGAAGCAACAAAATGATGACCGACAAGTCAAATCTGCAACCATGTAAAAAGTTAAACGGAAATTGATCACTTGAAACTACTTAAGTTGTATACTCCCCTGGTCATCAATCGTTTGAAGAGAAAGAATACATTCTATGCAGGTTCACAAACTCTATGCAGAGGCCAAAGCAAATATAAATAATGTTTGATACATAAGTTATATATACTTACAATGTCGATGTTTTCAGGGCTGTCGAAACCTTGATAAACAACAGCATGTAACTGGGGAAACTCTTCCATGGCAAACAATATTGGAGCTGTTACGATTCCCTGCAACAACAGATGGTTGTGATGAGCTCACCATTATGTAAGCCATTTAAAACCATATTGTGAACCGAGTATGTCCTAGAAAAGAAAGGCTTTGTCAAAGTAGGTGAGAAAAGGATCTTTCTACACTTCCTACAGACACTAGGCAGAAAGGCATTCGACAAGAGTAGAAAACAATACCAGCTTAAAGGCATTTAAACTTTGCTTAAGACATCAAGGATAGAGAATTACAAGCTGGATGTCTGATAAAGAACCCTTTCCAAGCGATGCTGATGTGCCGGTGAAATCAAGAACATCGTCTATCAATTGAAATGCCAACCCCTGAAAAAAGGGAAAACAATAGATGGATAGAAGGGTTTCAGCCGCTTAAGAGGTTATTGCCAGGTCAAACATCATTCAAGTCTAATTCACCGGGAAGCATGCAGATCTTGCAATTTAGGATGTGTTGAAGGTAAGTGAAACATAAACTAAAATACAAACCAAATTTTTGCCGTACTCAAAAGCCAACATTGCAACCTCAGTTGTTTGCCCAGCAAGAAGTGCAATTGCCTTGCAGCTGTTTGAAATCAGGGAAGCAGTCTTGTAGTATGTCTTTTGCATGTAATATTCCATGCTGCATATTGAAAATTGTTCCAGTAAATACAAGCAAAAGATCCTTAAATCCGAATCAGATCATGAAGATCTACCTATCAGCAATTATTTGCATGAAAATGCATAATGTTGGATAAATAGAAACCAGTCTCACTCATAGAACCGTGATAACAAATTCAATAAAAATTTATGACTATAAAAGGAAGTGTTAAAAGACGAGCATAAACATATGAAATCATACATGCATGCTAATTGTGTTATCTGGTTTGCCGCTACCATAATGGCTATCACAGGGCCCAAACATAGCAGGACAATCAACTAATTAAACACTGAGACGATACAACGACGCATCGGTGCAGAGAATATACCAGCGTACCTACAACGTTGTTCTGATGAAGTATTCATTTGCATGGTTTCGCCCATAACCAGATTCTCCACAACAGTTGCTAATAATGATACAACCTGCAGCCATTACAAATTTACAAGCAACTGGTTTTTAACTCAACATTTACACTTGCAAATTCATCACACAGACCATGTAAATAGTAATAAAAATAAATTAAAATCACCTCTGTATCTTTTAAAGCAGCAAGGGCTACACAAGCCCGTGAAAGCATAAAATCTCCTGCTAATACAGCCAACTGCATTATAAACAAACGGGGAGAGTTAAGTAATCGCTTAGGCTACAAAGTTTTTTCCATCAGCCACAACAAATCAAGAAAAGAATACCTTGTTGCCCATTACAGCATTCAATGAACTAATACCACGTCTTTGATCTGCATCATCCAGAACATCATCATGGAGGAGGCTGGCAACCTAGATGAGGAAATGATCATGTTAGACTAAAGGGAGTTATGAAAAAGCATCAGTGCATGAAACTACAGATAAAGAAAATTTAAATAGCGAGAAAAAGACATGGATCATCTCTGTTATCTCGGCTATAGACTGCTGTCTTGTACGCAATTCAGTTGTCAAAAAATCTCCTACACCAGCAGCAGCTGGTTCGGGTATATGAACATTCATAGCTGTAGCCATCAAAAGCAAAACCTGCATAGAACATAAACAATAACCATTCTGGACATTTCCATAAAACTATTTGTACATAAAGCAACCATCATGATAAAAAGTAACAGAGAATAATTTCGGTGAAATGAGTTTTAGATTGAAATGAGTCAAGAATTCACTGTGGCTAAGTTTAATTTTCATCAAAATTATAACAATCTGCCGGTAACCTCAAGATTCCCACATCGGTAAAGATGTATTACCGTGGGACGAAATCTCTTTCCCTCCACCCCCAATTTGAAGAAGTACTCAGCAGCTGAAGCAAGCTTAGGAACCTGGATACATGAACATAAATTTTTCATGATGTGACAAATTGTTTGCTCTCTTACATAAGGAAAGTATTTAGAAAACAAGAAAAAGAACAGTATGATACCTCAGCAACAACCATGGCCCGTAACCTGTTAGCGACCAGTGACAGCTCATCGGCAACGAGTGAAAATGGGTCAAGTTCCTCCTGAAGGAAATGCCATGCCATCTCAATATTGCAGTAAACAAAGACGAGATTAAGAAAGGGTGAAACACGTGAGAGTGGAGAGGTAGGAGATACACAGACTAGTAGCCAACAATTAAGAATAACAAACATGACAGAAGGGAAATTAATCAACTTAAGGCCAAAGTAGTATAACTTGTTTCATCTTTGAGCACAAGAAAAGCTGACATGTTAGAAAAAATACATCCATGGCAACCATGTTTCTTGTCCTAAAACTGAAAGAAATTCGGCAATGAAAGGATAACCTCTATCACGGAACTGCTCCGATGAATTTGTCGTCCAAGGCCAAGCAGTGAAGGCAAACTCCAGGATGGAGTTTCTCTGCCACTACAGACCTACTAATCCACAGAAACAGCAACAAGAAAAAGGATAAGTGATCAGTACATATACAAGATCTACAATCACTCTATCCTGTCACACACATTTCATCAAAAATAAATTGATACGACAGATCGGGATAAAATCGATCTAGAACATAGTCCTCTCAAATTATCCATTTGATTCAGTCATCATGTAACCTTAATTCCCTGTACCAACTCCACTTTGAATATGAAGAAGTAGCTTTGACAACCGATTCATTCCGGGTTAGTGACAGCATCATTGCATTTCAAAAGTGCATCCAATACATGCTTTAAGGATTACCATCAAAACCCAATGCAAGAATAAAGCAGCCCATAATCGATTAACAAAATAGATCAACTCTTACTAATTAAAAAATTAACCAATAAATAAACAGCTGGAATTAGGGAGCAGCTGCCGATTACAAATTTGCAGTCTTTCAAAACTTGAACAAGAGAAACCAAAGAAAAAGCGAGAGGTAGAGTCAAGGTATTACCTTTATAGTAGAATGAACATACTGATTAGAAAAAACGGATTGGGAAGGGTCAGCTGAACGAGAGAGAATGAAACCGAACAAGTTTTTTCTGGGAATTGCAGAAATCCTGGAAAATACCCGGAAAAACAACATCTTCACCTTGTTTCTATTTCTGTGTTTCTCTTACTACTATTTTCCCAGCAACCCAAACAGAAGGGGGGGGGGAAACCCAGAAAATTAAACTCTTTTTTTGCTTAGAGAAAAATCTTGGGGTTTATGATTCCGAAGCAGCCCAACCTAAAGTCTTCTGAAGAGTAAACTCGTGTGACTCACCGAATTATTAAATGCGGGGTTTATGATTCCGAAGCAGCCCAAACCTCAAGTCTGCTGAAGAGTAAACTCGTGTGACTCACCGAATTATTAAATGCGGCACCGCTTTAGCCACGTAACAAAAAATAAATAAAAACCATATTTTTCCTTGTATTAGTTTTCTTTTGCTTGTAATGGAAACCTCGTTTTTATTTTAACTAATTATTTTAGTGCAATATTTTTGATTGGTTTAGCCATTAACATGGGTGGATGAAATGGAATGCAAACCCTTTTGGGGCAAATTATTGAGCTTTTCACTAATGTGAATAGCGATCACTCCCAAAATAAGAAAATGGGCATTAATAGGAATCACGAGGTTGGGGACTTATTTCTGGAGTCACTGGGTTTTTAAGTAAGATTATGGTTTTAAATGAGTTTTCTTGTAAATAATCAATTTAAGGAAAAGAAAGAAGAGCATTACAATAACATTTTGGTATTAATCTAAAACACAAACGTACGGATCATCCATGTAGTTAACTCTTAATTAATAATAAAATAAAACCGAAAGCCTTAATTATCATTTGAAACTTCAAATTGTTATGAATCTATCAAATGATTTCTTTGATTAATAGTGTTTCTTGGAGGTTTCGGATTCGAATAATTGTATCTGCAAGGTATATAAACATTTATTATCACTGAGAAAACTACGAACAAATATTATCTTATAATAATTTTTTTCATAAATAAATTACTATAATTTCTTTGACAATATTAAGAGCAGTATAGGTGTTCCTGGGTTCCAAAAAAAAGTCCCAGCCTCAACTTATTAGAATTATTTATTTTATTTTAAATAAAAATATATAATATTTATATAATTTATAATTAAGTTTAAGTAATATGTTTTAATTATTTAAATAATATAAGAATAAACTTGGATCAGAATATGGGTAAAAATATATTTATTCCTATCTAATATGAATGCGGGACTTGAAAAAATTGAATATAAAATATTAAAAGTATGATATTAAATTAAATTTTATTTTAGTTCTATGTTGCTAACTTTAATATTATTCAATTATTATTTTATTTTGAAAATTATATTAAATTTGGTTATATCACATCAGAGTATATAAATTGAGCAGCTAATTTTAAACAAAATATCAAATGAATTTTCATTTAAATTCAATATTTATTTTTTTATTTATCCAACAAAATTTAAGTTAGTACTCGACAAAGAAAATAACATAACCAGACCTTAACACATCATATAAATTAAGAAAATAATAAGCGGCATATTTAAATCATTTTTTTATCAAAATCATACTTAAATTGTTATATAATTATAAAATTTCAAAACTTTAATAATTAGTAGTATAGTATTGTAAATATATAATATTTATGTTGTTTTCTATTATAAAAATACATTTTTACCCCCATTTTATTCATTAATCCAATTGATAAATTGTATTTTTTTGGATCCAACAGAGGCAAATGTATGGTTTATACATGTATACAACGCTTTTACACATGGTGAGGTTTACAAGTTACAACCATTAGAAAACATGGCCGGAATTCACCTAAGAGAACTGATACCAGATGCACCCTATGTGGAGAACTCCGAACATTGCCGGGAACGGAACACACCCTGCACCATATGCGGAAAACTCCGGTCACTAATGAATGCCGGGAATGCAAAAACTAAGACCAACCTGTGTGATTTTACCCTTCAAAAGATGTTATGTATGCTCTACTAACTGGTATGAATCACTAATTGTTCCTTTCTTCCACTTTCCGTCCTCCGTCCATACCATATCTTTTAGCCCGATGGAGAGATTATTATAAAACTGTAAATTTAAGAAATTCAGATCATGGAATACGAACTTGACATCCACTGCATGCTTGTACACGATAAGTTACCGACGATGGTTATCGAAGGATTAGTACCTCGTGAAATTCCAGGGTATCTCCTCCGGACTTTCAAAATTCGACCATGTAAACCGACGGAGCTACCTGAAAAATATGAAGATGGGAACATGCAGGGTTAAAGACCCTGAGGCTGAGATGTAGAGATAAGTTCGAATGCATTCATCATGATAGGTAGTGCGGGCCTTTCTTCCCGCCATTCGTAGACGAGGTTTTGAGAATCCTGCTACAGAAACCATGAACACAGACTCATCATACCATTTGCACCACCACCAACACTACAAAACCACATTCCATATGGGAAAAAAACACAACTCTTACCCATGATTCACCGAAAAAGGAATCCAGATCATCAAGGATAACATCGGCTATCTTGAACCTAGGCGGCTTATATCCTTTCTTAAACCACTGGTTCTCGAGAATCTCGCGATTGTTATCGTCTGGTTTAATCAGAAGAAATGAAGAATGAAGCCTATATCTGCATACACCTTCAAGAGAACATCAAAAACGAGGGTAAAAGGAAAAGTCACGTACGGTCGACGGATTAGGATCAAGAAATCTCTTGATTAAGACCCTTGCACCTGGTCAGAACGATGAAGGAAAATTGAGGTTTTCCTTGAATATCTGCAGTCAGACATGGAACTCCTTTAGAAGACATAAATCAAATTGGTCACCAGCATGACAGCATTGTTCTGTGTATATACAAACATCGCAGGTGTCTGTTTTTTGTGCTTGTATGTGTTCATATGTTTTCTTATTTATATTTCTGAATTCCGACTTGGTACGGGACTAAGAATTCCAAGAGACGGACATGGAGAGAATAAGTACCTGACTATACAGATACATCAAATCGGAGTCATCAAAAGGCAAGTAACCAACCATTAAGACAGAGTATAACACCACATGACCACACATCTGCTTTAGCTCCATGATACCCTTTATTTTTTGTCACCTAGAAATCAAAGATAAACGGACCAGTAAGAAAAGGAATCTGGTTTACAACGAAAGTCGATCAACCGTTTTCGCGGAGCGAATGAACAATGTCTTACCTCTGGAGCAACATAATTTGGTGTTCCACATGTTGTGTAAAGTAAAACGTCCTCCTACACAAAAAGGATAAGATGTTGCATGCATATTATCAGACACACACAGAGAGATGTCATAAGACATGAAGATGATGTGCTTACGTGAACTTGTTGCGATAAAGCACTCAAACCAAAATCTCAGGCTGCAAATGATACCGAAACAATGCACACAGACTCATCAAAGCACTCAAACCCTTTTAGAGTCTAGAAGCAAATTCTCAGGCTGCAAATGATAGAAGACAGATCCACTATATCAGATAAATTCACATGGGAAAGGGGTTTATTGAACATAATAAAACTGTATCCCACACCTTAAGATCCTATGGTAAACACCTCTTCTATGGAGATAATCTACAGCATTAATAAGCTGCTGAAAATACTTTCTAGCTCTATCTTCCTTGAACCTCCCCTTGGTAGCCTGGTACAGCAAGACGAATACGACAGTGCCGGACTGATTATTTCGTATTCAAACACCAATGAAGAGACATAGTTGTTTTGATTGCGATCTTACAATTTTTTCGAAAAGTTCGCCCGCCGGTGACGAATTCCAGCACGATGTAAATGAGTAACTCTTCCCAAAATTTCATTACCAAAATTAAATGTGGACTAAATTGATGAGCAGTTTGAACGACATGCACGAATTTTCAAGGACTAAATACACGCACCAATAATAATCAATATTATTTCGATTGATATCGTTGCTTATATAACTTAAATGCTTTTATTGATCAAAATTACTCTCTACACACGCATATAGACTAACAAAAGACTAGGTCAGTGGTCATCTGTCCAATACCTTGTTGAAGAAGGAAGAAAGGGTTTAAAAAAGAAACAAAACTGGAAAATGAAGTGAAGATACATCTTCAATACACCGTTTTCTAGTTATCAAAAATCGAAAAACTTGACACTCCTTTGAGAAAAGCATATGGAGTCAGCCGTCGGGGTGGTGGCCGAAGACGATGAACCCCCAGCAGCAGGAGCCGCAGGGACTAAAGTATCGGCGTAGCTTCCATCTCTATCCTCTTCAGTAATGGTGTCCAACATCGTCATCGTTCTCTTCCTCATCACGGTGACAAACCGCGGCGGAGCGACCTCAGAGATGAACCTATGGATTAGCAAATTCGCCATGTCTGTAACTGTAACAAATTTCTGTAAGAGATTTGGATATGCAGAAGGTAAGAGCTAAGGTGAGGTTTATATAAGAACATGGCTTGGCTTAAATAGAGACAGTGGTCTTTGTCGTTCATTAATGAAGAAATTACCTCATAGTGCCGCCACTTACTTTTTTATATTAATTTGCAAAAGTGATCTGATGTTTGATGTTTCAGAAGCAAGATCTAAAGAGATCAGTACACAGTGGGGGACCTTTTTGTAGATATGAAATTTGTTGGGGGATCATTGATTGCTTTGAATTTGCAGTTTTATGAGCTCAACCGGCCATCTTCTTGTTTTGTGCCATCTGCTATTTGGGGAGTGATGATTACGTGTATTGCATGTCTCAAATCGTTTATTATTTTGCCTTACGTGTTTGTTTCTCTGATATGAGGTAACTTGGATATATCATCTTCACGTGTCTAAATTTGGATTTCTCATCCTCCTCAGCATCAATCTCCCTATAATGTGAATTTTAGAGTCTCTTTTCGTAATGAAAGTTAAAAAAAATCTCTAAAATTTTGATTTATCAGAGGTAAGTCAATCACATTTATTATAATATACAAGATAGTCTAGAGTAAGTAAGATACACCTACGTGTTCTATTAATGATATGCATTACTAATATGAAAATATGATTTAAATGCCCTATTATCATGTGAACTATATCATTTGCACTGAGTTGTCTTTAAAATATTTTTGAGATATTTTACCTTTTAATTTTAATCGTTATTTTATTTACTCTAAATTGTTAACATTATTAAAAAAATTTACGGACCAATTAGAACATATCACTACACTTCTTAATTTTTATTTTATTTATCTGAATAAATAATTATTAAATAATAAAGTAAAACAAATAAACTACCCAAAATACCCTTCTTCCCCACCCCCAACCCACAAATCTCCACCGTAACATCACCATCTCTAACAGTTTCCCCGCCTTTCATTCTGCAAACTCCAATCAGTACCGGCAACTATATGCATTTCGGTTGCAATTTCATCACCATCCCCAACAATGAAAGCATATTAGCAAACTATTCCTTCCTAATTTTTTTAAAAAAATTAAAGAAATTAAAGAACAATCCACATCCAATCACCTAATTTTTTCCTTCTTTTTTTTTATCTAGGCAACTAAACAAAAGTTCTAATTAATCAATTAGAAACTGATGAGATGAAGATCAACATAACTAAAAAAAACCATACTTTTAGAAAGAAAAAGAATCATTAGAGATCTACACTATTCCTTCCTTAGTCATTTATTTGCTCCACTTTTTTCTCACCATCCAAACACGCAGAAAAAGGGTGAAAGAGAAGAATACAAAAGATTACCATTGACATGGCAATAGCAGTACAAGAAAAGAAAAAAAATCTATAAAGAAGTCACTTTGTTTTATTCTCCAAACTACCACCATGCCGACGAAACCAAAGTTGTTAACAAACGAAACCACTATTGATGAACTGGAACAAAGCTCCCTCCTTTCTCAGACATCCCCAACTAAAGCAAAATGAAAACCCATAAAGAACAACAATAGTAAAAGAAACCCTTTTCTTTCACCACCAAAGAGGGAGATATATGTTAGGGAAAGGAAGGGTTTGATGCTCTGTTTCTTGGTGATATGCTGGAGAGAGATCAAGAAAAATGGATAAAGCAAAAATGGAGGTTTGGGGCTGGGGGAGGGGAAAAGGGCATTGTTGGTATTCTATAAGTTTTATTTTATCTAATAGATTTTTATTTATTCAGATAAAAAAAATTAATATTAAAGGATTATGTGGCGTATTTTAATTGGTCAATGAATTTTGTTTACGATATTAACAATTTGAGACAAACGAGATAATGATTTATAGTTGAAAAAATAAAATTTCTTAAAAAATACTTTAAGAAACAATTCGATATAAATGATATAGTTTAAGGGCAATGGAACGCCTAAAAATATGATAAAATTCAAAAATGATCATTAAATTTATTAAAATGATATTATTTGTCATTAAATTTTAAAAGTTATAAAATATATATTAAACTTCAAATTTCTTGAAAAAGTTATTTGAAACAACGTGATATATTAAATTAATATAAAATATCTTTTTTGACGTTTCAGTCATAACTAAAATTTTATTTTAATATTCTTTCCATATTTTAAAGTAACAATTTGAAAAATAAAAAGAAAATTTTTATTTCTTTAAATATATATATATATATATGAAAACAATTCATTTTGAAAATTAAAAATTATATATTCTCTAAAATTTTCGGTTATCAAATTTATAACTATTTATTTATTACTGTGATTGTATTTGTAAAATTAAAAATTAAAAATTTTGAGATCAAAAAAATTGAATTATCAAACAATGTAATTATTTTTATTAAACGATATGGTTCGAGCATTTGACTTTTGTTTAAGAAGTTTCATAATTTTAAAAAATACATCCAGAAAATTATAGTATCACATTAATAAGAAATATACATCCAAACTTAAATAAAAATAATCGAAAAATCCTTAACTTTTAATAATGTATCAAATAATTTATATGTATAAATTCAATATTTATAATATGATACTAAAAATAATATTTAATTTATTTACATCCATTTTATTTTCAATTTAATGAATATAATAAAAACATTTTAATTAAAATTAACAACAAAGTGGAATTTTAGAGCGCAAGACTCTTAACCTTGTGGTCGTGGGATCGAGTCCCACGGTGGGCAATTCATAGTTCTGACTGCTGGAGGTCTTCCACGGAAGCTGCTCTCAACCTGACGTTGGGGGCAGCCTACTATCTTATCCCCCTCCCCCTATTACATATGAGAATAGGGTCAGCTAACAAAGTGAAATTTTAGTTATAATAAATGGGACAAATAAGATATATTTTTTATTAATTCTGCATGTCACACCACCTCTTTAAAGATAGATAGTGGCATTGTACCCTTCTTGTAAAAAATCTATAGTTTAATGTCTATTATATAATTTTTGAAAGTTTAGTGACTAAAAAAGTCTAGTTGATATAATTTAATGTCCATTTTAAATTCTAACTTATAAAATTAGTGGTAGATATCAATGTTTGACATTCATTTTAAAATTTACCTTATATACGAATAATTATTATGATTTTACATTTGACATCAACTAAAGTTTACTATAAAATTTTAAATACGAATTTGGCACCATTTATTTTTCTTTCTATTTTTCTTTTTTGGAGATAAAATATTTCATATAAATCAAGAGACCTCGATGGTAAAGAAATTGTTATTATTTTTTAAAGTATTGAGTTCGAATACCATAAATATTATAAATAGAAATAAACAAATATTATCGTGTACTTACATCATATTAATAAAAAATGATTTAGCACAACAAAGGTTACTAGCAATAATATATATTCATTGTTCTTAAATGACAAATAATTTAAAAATAAAAAAGAATTAGGAATAAATATCCGAGTTAGTTGGGTTAAATAATTTTAAAATGATGAGTTATATCTTATAATTCAAATTTTATTTTTAAATTTTTGAATTGAGTCTAATATATATCTATTTTTTGAGTCAAATTAATTTTTGCCCATCCTTATATTCTTTAAGGATTGCTTGATAAGTATAGGGTCGACCTAGTTACAAAATTGGCTCAATATAGCGAAGAGAGAAAATAATTAGCTCAACAGGACATATAGAAGTTTATTTTGGGATTTACGACATTTGTTACACTGTTACTAGATCTCATCACATAGAAATGATGAGTTCTAATAAAAAATATTTTATTCGATTGATTTGTTTGGTTTAATATTTAATTATTTTTCTTAGAATTTATCATGTTGATATGACGAGTTCCATTACAATAATATTTTTTTTGAATTTGGAGTGTTTTTTTAAATGAAAAAAATAAATGGAACATGTAGGTGACGAGTTCCATCAGTCACACTGAAGTTTTATTAAATACAAAATATTAAATAGTGTGATTGAACACTGAAATGAAGTGATATATCACTAAAAATTTTAAAAAATATATATAATAGATTTTGTTATAAAAACATTACATTAAACCATTACATTAAACCATTAAACATTACATTTATGAGATAAAAACAACAAACCATAAACATTACATTTAAGATAGAAATAACGAACCATAAACATTACATTTAGGAGATAGAAACAACGAACCATACACATTACATTAAGAAGATAAAAACAATAAACTATTCATTATAATATTTTAATCATCGTAATCAGTAGACTTGTCAGAAATAATATTCAGTTATTCAACTCTCTATGCTTTTTTTATTGTCGTTCACGTATAAATTGGAACATTTTTTAACATAAAAATCAACATAACTTTTCATTTTATTCTTCTGAATTTCTACACTATTTTTTTATTATTCTCTATAAAGTAATTTGCTACTTCGAATCAATAAGTCTTCATACTTTTTCTTCTTCTTCTTATTATCCTCAATTTTCATCTCATTATTCTCTTCTTCAAGTTTTCTTCTTTCCTTATGTTGGTCAAGTATCAACTTCTTTGCCTCCTTAACCCACTCTTCATCTAAAGACGGCTCGAATCTGAATCATCGACGTCTGAGTAATTAGACCCAAATATATTATTCATATTTTTTGTAATATCCTTCCAAAAATGCATGATTTCATTATCGTATAGACTCATCAATTCACCCTACTCCTAATTATAATTTTTTTTTGTAAAAAATGACCGTTTCCATTAATTCAAAAAATAATGTCGTTGGCCAATGACTATAAACGTCTACTTACTTTAAACCCAAAGGAACTCATCACCTCGGTATGATGAGTTCCTTAATTTTCTATTTTTTTATAAAAACACATCAAATTAAAAAACAATATTATTTTAATAAAACTCGTCATCTAGACATGACGAGTTCCACGAAAATTAATTAAATATTAATCGATCGAATAAAATATAATTTTCAGTAAATTTCATCACGTTGATCGTGACGAATTTCTTTAATAATGTAACAAATGTCGTAAATCCAAAATAAACGATAATATGTCTATTGGGATAAAAACCCAACGGGGTTCTCCCAATTACAAATTTGGGTTGTGTTCATTAAGCCTGGAATGGCCCATCACCCCTCACATTTGCAAAGAGTAAATCCTAGAAAAACCTAGGGTGTTCATTCGGTTAAAATAGTGACTGACTAAACCGAATTATCATTAATTGAATTAATCGGTTTTTTTTCTTTAGCCGTTAATTGAATCGAATTTTTTTTTGAAAAAAATAACCGAACCGAATAAATTTCGGTTAATTCGGTTAATTTTCGAATTAACTTATTTTTTAATTTTTTTTAATTTATATAAAAATTGAATATTTTTTAATTCAAAAAATAGTTTACAATTAATTTAAATAATATATAATTATAAAATAAAATTTTATATGGATTTTTAATTAATTAATATTGATTTAGGTTTAAAAGTTTTTGGATCTTAAATTATTTATTAGGGTTTAAATGGTTTGGGCTGAGCTCATATGTTATATATAATATATTTAAAATTTCATTTCGGTCAATTCAGTTAATTAATCGATTTCGAACCGAATTAACCGATTCTAAAAAATTTATTAACCGTTTTTCGATCGAATTAATTTGATGATCGATCGAATAATTCGAATTAATTCGATTAAAACCGAAAAAAAGCCCTAGAAAACCCCCTAAATTTCCTTTCCCCCTTGTTGTTTCCCTAAGCCTCCATCAGAGAAGGTGCAGCTCCGTAAAAAAAGTTCACAATTTCCTTTCTATACCTGGTTTTTCTTTCTGGGTTTTCGTGTAATTGCATGAAAGTTCTAATCTTTCCTTCTTCTTTTTTGACAGTTTGCATCTCTTTTGATTGGATAAGATGTATCTCCAGTTCTACATAAATGAGAATGGAGACAAAGTTTACACCACTAAGGTAAATCCCATTGGCCCATGATCTCTTTCCATTGATAATTAGGTAAAACTACAGATGAACATTCTTAGGCATGTAGAAATTCCTTAACTTTACATGTTTTGTTTATGGTGTTTGAGACTGTCGGAAGGTCAATCTTATATGTACTGAAACTGAAACCTTATCCAGAAATTGCCCTTTGAAGTTTAACTTTTAACCCTTTTTTGTTTTATTTTGGAAATCGAGGTTCTCTGTGGAAGCTAAGAACTAATTGCCTTATTGGTAGGATATGTTTTACATTTCCATAATAATTTAGGGTGTTCTGGCTGAATAAACTGGTTATATAATGCATTGAAGTTCCAGACAGTGATTAAGTTTAAATCTCTGCCCTGCTGTTGACCGTTGACTGGTCGCCATCATAGGATCTTGTTATAGCAATATTTTAAGGTTTCTGATTCATGGATTATGAATATTTCGTTAGTTATTTCTCTATGTTACGTTTGCATTGAATTTGTGTTCAGAAAGAATCACCATTGGGGTTGCCTACTCAGTCTGCTCATCCGGGTAATATGGCTTGAATCATCTATTTCCTTTCTGGATTGCATCTTATGTTTGACCTGGTTGCTTATTAAGGCTTATATATGTATAGATAAATGAATATATGTGCATACACACACACACGTGCATTCATATTAGCTTCTTTGATCTACATTTTTCTTTTTTTGTCGGTCTTGTTTCGAACTCAGCACAAGCCACAAGGTGTCTATTCTGGTTGAGAATTGTAAATGTTATGAGTTCTGAGCAAAAGCTCATTAGCTCTCTTATCTGTCATGTATTGGGAAGTTGGTACCTCTTCATGTCGTCAATGGCACTCGACAGTAATGGGTGGTAACATTGGCTTGCACTTGTTAGGCTATTATATGATATTTTTTCTGGTTGTGTTGAAGTTAACTGCTCCATTATAGGATTATGAAATTTTGTCGAAAGTTGCAGAAAAATCTTATTCACAAGTACTGTATTTTTTATCTGATGGTTGTTTCTTTCTCTCTTTTACCAACATTTACGCAGCTCGTTTCTCCCCTGATGACAAATTCTCAAGACAGAGAGTTCTTTTGAATAAGCGTTTTGGATTGTTGCTTACCCAGCAGCTGGCTCCGAAATATTGAAATCGTCGAAAATGTTATGCATAATGCATGTTATACATCTATCAAGATTTATGATCTTTGGATGCATATGAAGTTTCTAGCTCATAGCAGATTCTCTTTAGGAGGAGGATGATTTAAAACTACAAACTCTTTATGTCTGGTTCCAAGAACATCTTAAGTAATGCAAGTAGTTTGATTTTTCAAGAGTAACTATTATGTTAGGTGGTGTTATCTCACGTTTGTTATGTTTATTTAATTTTATATACATATTCAAACTTTTAACCGTGCTTAAACATACAAATCCTAGATTATCGGGTGTTGAACTCGCAGGCTTTACTGAATTGAATCTTTGATAGGTTAAAGCATTTTCCAGCATGTGCCAGAGAGCACATTCCACAATACATAACACATAAAACAACAAAAACCTGATAGCTGATTCGACCCGCAGCTTGTTTGAACAAAGCAACGGTGAAAGCAGTGCAGCCATTGCTGTATTATCTTCACCTGTTCCGTATCCATGAGGGCAGAGACCGAAAGCCAATTGCCTAATACGTCCGGATACCACCAAATACCAGCTTTTGGGGTTTGATTGACCTGACCTTTCAGTCTTTATCAGTAATAAAAATTCAAAAAGTAGGCTGAAGACAGCTCTGAACTTGGCATTTAAGACAGAAAGCTCAACAGCACTACCACGGCTGAAATTAGGTCTTGCTGTAGTAACGCGTATGGAAGACGTGCCGTGTCTACCAAGGCAAACAATGGAAACAAAATGCCAAATATGTCTCAATGGAAAAATCCTGAAGAAACTGAAAGAATATAAATCTTTAATCTGATAATATTTTATAATAAATATTCGGATGTAACACACAAAACAACATAAAACCTGATAGCTGGCCATCAGCAGCTTGTTTGTACAAAAACACCGCCAAATCAATGCAGCAGCCGTCACCGTATTCATCTTCACCTGTGCCGTTTCCATGAGGGCAACGACCGAAAGCTATTCGCCCGATATGTCCGATTTAGATACCTCCAAAAACCAACTTTATCCGTACAAAAAAGGCAAAAAAGGGGTTGCAAACAAAGCTCCAAACTTTGCATTTAAGACCCAAACCCCACAGCTAAAGACCCCTACCTCTTACAACTTGTATATAAATCAAGCGTGGATTCAACATTTGTTCACATTCGTTCATTCAAGTTCCCATAATTTCCTCATGGCTGATATCATCTCTGTCACCACTCTCCAACAAACCCCCTGCATAGTTACTCCACCACCTCTCATTACCTTATCCGCCGTTGTGCCAGCCCGTTCATCTCCGAACATAGGCTCAACATCCATATACCGCTAGAGACTATTCATGAAGAAGAGGAAATCAACATGGAGGAGTTACCCCAAAATCCATCACCATCTGACATCTTTTTCATCAACCTGTTTCTCAAAAGGGAAGAGCGGCTCCTTTCCTCATGTAATCATCGGTTGACGAACATACATCTGATGTAATCCATGGATTATTGTCTTCTTTTTCAGTTTTCCTCTTTTGAGGGTCGTAATTTTAGCAGCAGCCTATAATTCACTTTTGACTTGTCTGAAATTTAACTGTCCATGTTCATTACAACTTACAAGACAAAAAATTATCTGTCCTTTGCATTTATTATGGATTCCTCAAACAAACATTATGCGTTACTAACTACCTTATAGTTTCAATCTCCCACTAAAACATATATAATAATCCAAAGCTTTTAGCAATTTGATTCAACATACATCTCCCAATCTCAATACAAGTTCCAAGTTAACATCAAAGCCTCATTCTCTTGCAAAACAACAATGGCAAAGGATATTAGATACATGCAAGAATTGGAAGAAGTAACGCCACCTCTTATGATATCTCACTATATATCTAAGAGTTGTCCTCGATTGGAGCCCATACCCGAAGAGGAATGTGGCGATGTAGAAGTGATGAAGAAGACAGTCTTTGTTCTTCTTTCTTTGTCCATCTATGTGTTTTTTCGTAGGTGAAGAGTAGACATGTGGCTCAAACTTGAAAATATGACCAAATCCATCCGAGTTTAAATTCGATTCAACTCGATTTGATCATGAAAGTAAACAATTATTCAAATTTGTTTAATCCAAATTTAGATTAGAGACCACTTTGAAAGAAGATTCTGAATTAAACGTTGGACTTTGCTTTTTCCTCTTATTCCTTTTGTCTCTTTGTATTTTAGCTTATGCTGTCTTATAGATACATTGTTTGATCTTTTTAATGAAAATTCTAATTTCTTTCTCCATTCACAAAAATCATGATGCTACTCCTTTAATTTAAGGCTTAACAACATGCTCATTCAAAGACAATAATTTATCATGTACAAACGAAATGAAACAACAAATTTGTCCTTAATAGCAGATTGGGGTAGCCAATCATATGTAACTTGAGCTCCCCAATCAATCATTGCCTTTGTTGCAAGTTTGTCCTTGGAATGGTAAGAGTACCCCCAAACTACTTTATGCCAAGGACCTTTTCCAGCTGACCTCGCAACTAGGACGAACACAAAAAAATTTATTATGCGATAAGTTTATAAAATTTAACAAATTATTAATAAAAATATAAAATGTTTAAATTATTAAAAATTAAAATTTCCAGAAGAACGATCGTCCCGACAACCTCTTTGATCCATCAGTGCTGGCAACACCTCCCAACTCTTTATTGCTTTAAAACAGGTTGGGCTCCTAAAAGCGGACCAGACTTCTGAGTTTCATAAACTTTGACATTGTTGAACTAGAGCCTGCATTACATTTACTCCTTTCACTACATACCAAGTAACCCACAGTAAGCCTGCTTTCAACCATAAGTCAAGGAATTGTGTAAGGGAGAACAAGCACTCAAAAGGAATTATGTAATTCCAAAGAAGTCGAGGGTTCTATGTTAAATTTGTAAAGCTTAGGATTTTTTTTTGTTGAAACGAGCATTGGATTCGTGTTTAAGAGGTAAAAGATTACTGAATTAAATTTTTTGGCATTTAATGGTTAGTCGACGATGATTGGCATTGACCGATGAGGGTAGTAAGTGACTATCGAAGATAGGGGATTTTGATTAGATTCATGTGTTAAATTGATATTTATATCTAAATTTCAAGAGTCAAATTGATATTTTATCTACTTTAGGAGTTAAACTAAAATTTAAAGGTCAAATTAAAATTTAACCCCTTTTATTAACATGCTACATTACCAAACTAAGGTCAAGTTCGAATTCTATCATCGTCACTTTTGATAGACAATATGTAAATTCCTACGTAAATCCCAATTATGTCTTAGGAATGCCTTGACCCTGGACTGGGGGAGCCACCCTTGACCTAAACTCTATTGTACCAAAAAAATACATTACCAAACTAATGACATTTAACATCCCAATAATTAAAATATTATAAATCAATAGTATAAATAATTAAAAAATTTCAAATGAATAACATAAGTTATCAAAATGTTACTTAAATTTAATGATAAAAATAACACTTATAAAATAATAGTGATTGTTTTAGCCGTTTATCCTTCTTCTTTTCTAATATTCTTTTATGATCAATTAGTTCCTTTTAGTTAAAAAAAATTGAGTCCAAAAGGTCTGGTGGGTAGAGTTAAACTCGATCTTAATATTAAACGCAATTTCTACTTATAAAGAGATCTTCTTCTAATGGCACAAAACCTAACACAAATTTTATACATAATTATGCCAATATCAATGCTAGAAGTTATGTCACCAGAAGAGGATACCTTCATAAGGTAGGAGTCCTTTTAAATCTGTATCTTTTGCAATGTTATGATATCGATACTGGCATTGAAATTCTTCTTTGTCCTATAAGCTTTTTGCCTTGTTGTTGTTGTGTGATTGTTATTCTTAACCTCTAAATGGTTCAATTCAGATAAAATTTTCTCACTTGTAACGTTGATCTGACAAATGACACACCTCCACTCATCATTTATTTTGTTTTATTGTGGATCAAACTCAAGTTGAATATGTTATACAAGAATCAAGAACAATTGTTGATCATCAACACATAAGTATTGATATATTAAATTTATGTATACAGTATCGATCAACATAGATTAAGTATCGATATTTTATATTTCAAACTGTTTTCTTAAATAATTTGTCTCTATTCAAACATAATAAATATCAATACTTATTTACAAAAATATACTTTTAAATTAAAAAAATGAAAAATGAGAATGCTGCAAAATATTGAATTTTTTCACAAATACTATAGCATAAGTATCGATATAAATAAAAAAGTGTCAAACCTCATAATATATGTATCTATATTTTAACTATAGATCATATTCATCAACTTGTTCAATATCTAAAAGTATCGATCATTATCGCATAAATATCAATATTTTAAATTTCGATATTTTTATCAACTTTTAACTTTTAAAATATCTATCATTACCGCATAAGTATTGATATTTTAACTTTTGATATTTCATCAACTTTTTCAATATTTGAAAGTATAAATAATAATATATTAAATATCGATATTGACAATTTCGAACTATTTTTTTGGTGCAACACATTTTATTAATAAAAATATTAACATAATAACATATCACAACCTATTTCTTTGTGAACCATGACATTCCTGGATGCAACCTATTTTAACAGATCACAATCTACTTTCTTAGTGAACCATTACATTCTTGGGCGTAACCTATTTTATTAATAAGAATATTAACATTACAAATTGCAACATATTTCTTAGTGAACCATGACATTATTGAGTGTAACCGTATTTCTTATATATATATATTCATAACATTTTCAGCTTTTAACTTATTTTTTTATCGGGGGAAAATCTAAGACTTTATTAGCTTAAACTTTAATAACATTTTAGGCGTAATATATTTTATTATTAAAAATATTAAGATTCCATATTGCAACCTACTTTCTTAGTAAATCATTACATTCTTGGACCCAACCTATTTTATTAATAAAAATATTGACGTTACAGATCGCAACATATTTCTTAATGAACCATGACATTATTGGACGCAACAGTATTTCTTATATATATATATATATATATATATATCATAGCATTTTCTTATTTATATTCATACCATTTTCGGTTCTTATATATATATATATATATATATATTCATAGCATTTTCTTATTTATATTCATACCATTTTCGGTTTTTAACTTATTTTGTTATCG